AGATAATCTGATTCGAGAAAGATGAAGAAAAAGAAGAAACAAATGAAAGCGAATTTAAAAAATAGACAAGGCAATCATGGGAATCATATTTCGCGCGATTATGCATTATTGCAAATTAAGCAATTTGTGCACAATTGACGTCTGTCCATATTCAGGCGTGTGGCCAGACGAGAGGGAGCAATCGAGAGAAAGAGAGAGAGAGTGAACGGTGATGCCGATTGAGCCAGCTGTAATTGATGTTGTCGGGATAGCGACAAGTCTGGGAGTCATGCGGGAGCAGCGTCGACGCGGAGCAAACGGACTCTCGCAACAGCAAAACATACCAAAAAGTGTGTGTGTGTGTCAAAAGTGGTTTTGACACGATCTGGCCAAAAAGCGGCTGCGGTGAAGAGGAAACGAGTCGAAAGTGCGTCTCTGTCTCTGTCTTTGTCCCTCTTTCTCTGCCCGTTTCCATTTCCATCTCTGCCTCTTTGTCCATCATTGCCTCTGTATCAGTCTCTCTCTCGCTGTCTGTCTTTGTTCTTGTCTTTATCTACGTCTCTCTCTCTCTGTCTCCATATCGTTCCTCATCTGGCCAGCTCTGTTTACATCCCTTTTCCTGTGTCTGTATGTCTATCCGTCTGTCCCGATCTTTGTCTCGGCCGCATCGACTACACTCCAAACCAGGCGGGACTCGAGCTCTACTTTGCAAGAGTGTCCCGCTTCAACTGTAGGCCTCCTGTTCCTCTCGAGCCGCCGGATTGGCTGGTTGCTCGCCTCACACTCCCAACCACAGCCAAGCCCCCCCCTGTCTCGGCCAATAGGAAGAGGCGTAGGCCGAAGGGACTCACCTCGAGAGTGTGAGTAGATGCTGCGTCAAGGCTATGGCGAGAACCCGAGTGGCAGAAGGTGAATGTGATTATTGTGTGAATAGTTGAGGCTGTTGAGCTTACTTCCATTTCGAGTGGAAGTGTGCGGTGAAGAGATTCGAAGGTCGGTACCATCAGAAGAAGACCAGCAACGGATTCCGCTTGACCAGCTGTCGATTGGCTCTGCTGGAACATTCATGCTGACGCTGTTTCCAAAGCAATCTCCTTCAAATCCGGCGAAAAAGTGCTAAGCTTTCGTCCGTCTATTGACGAACATCATGAGAAAATCAAGGGTATCATCGTCACAACCAAATTGAAGCTAACGAGTCAAGAAAACTCACCGACAAATCCCTAAAAAGTGGTATATCCACTCCACATCTGGCCGCTTTGATCAAGTATAAAGTGGTTTGGTTAGTTAAGGTCATATGTCAACTTCTATGCATGTGAGTGTGTCTGTCCCTGTATTTGTATGTGCATGTTTGTGTTCGCTTATGCCCGAAATCCAAAGTGATGCCTCAAAGTAATTGACATATGACCTTAAGTAATCAAATCACTTAATACTTGATCAAATAGGCCAGATGTGGAGTGGATATACCACTTTTTAGGGATTCGCCGGCATGTTTTCTTGACTGGTTAGCTTCAATTTGGTTGTGACGATGATACCCTCGATGCTCTGATGATGTTTTTCATGTGACGGACGAAAGCTTAGCACCTTATTACGATTAATTGAAAGAGATTGCCTCGGAAACAGCGTCAGTAAAGTCAATCGTCGGCTGGTCAAGCGGAATCCGTCGCTGGTCGTCTTCTGGTGGTACAGACCTGCGAATCTCTTTACAAGTGATTCCTCGAAACCCAACTTTTCTTCGTATAAATAGTTGAGTCCGCCCGAGAGGAGACGAGAAAAGACGTGTAGACGGCCAAGACATTGCGACCTGCACATTTCGGCCGCTGTCTCGTGTTCGCAACTTGCTCGGGCAGACGGTGGCCTCTGCTGAGGGACTGAACAGGACAAGTGCCAGCAAATTGGCATATCAAATCTGCTCATTTTAGCTTCTAATTTTGCTATCACAACCTACCACTTGTCCATTTCGACCCACTTTAAATGTGGACATTTTTTAGCATTTAAGTATTGTTTTTGTGACTACCAGTAAATCAGTAGTATGAGGTGTATTCACCCAATTTCGTCTAAGGTGATGAAGGACTGGTAAAAGAAGAATTTTATCACAATGAAATGAGTAGAGCTGACGATTCCATTTAATTTCATTTTATTTTTCGCATTTAAGCATTGTTTCGAGTCTACCAGTAGATCAGTAGTATGAGATGTATTCACCCAATTTCGTTTAAGGTGATGAAGGACTGGTAGAAGAACAATCTTCCCACAATCATATGAGTTGAGCTGACGTTTCCATTCAATTTCAGTTTATTTCATTTTATTTTTAGCATTTAAGTATTGTTTCGAGTCTACCAGTAAATCAGTAGTATGAGGTGTATTCACCCAATTTCGTCTAAGGTGGGGAAGGAGTGGTAGAAGAAGAATTTTCCCACAATCAGATGAGTAGAGCTGACGTTTCGATTCAATTTCACATTGCATTGCTTTCCAAAAAGTTGTGCTCGTCCAGAATGTCAAGCTCACTGTCACGATTCGACTCCCGCTGGGGTTGTTGATAAGACCGATGCGACGTCGAAACTGCAGTCCACTCCAGCCGGGATGAGAAACACTTTTGGGAAAGCAATGTAATGTGAAATTGAACGGAAACGTCAGCTCAACTCATCTGATTGTGGGAAAATTCTTCTTCTACCAGTCCTTCTTCACCTTAAATGAAATTGGGTAAATGCATTTCATATGACATTTTTGTGCCAATTTGACGAGACCCAAAGCAGTCACCAAGACAAGGTGTAACCGAGCCAGCCCGAGTGAGCCTCGAGAGGACGTAGAAAATTGTCCTGAAATGTTTGCTTATTTCGACTTGACAAGACTGGACCGCAGTTTCCACCTCGTCCCATCTCGACCTCGAAGTGTACACTTTCCAGCAAAGTACCACAATGCGTCGCACAGCAACGGGTGACACCGAGTCGCAGGACAAACTCGACGTCTGAAGAGAAGTTGGGTTTCAACGAAACCCTTAAAAGAATGAAGTTGGCTTCAGTTTCCCATCGTTTGGGGAGGCGAATGAAAGTGCAAATGTGAATGTTCAGTAAATCAGCGCCCAGCTTTCGTCTGTCCCACCGTTACAGACATCGTAGGAACAGAATTTCGTGTTTGCGAAAATTTACCGAGAACTACCGAATACAGATGCTTTCCTCAATCCTGTTTGAGATTATTCTGAAAAAATATCAACTAACATCATGTAAAGTAGGCAACGAGAAGACACTCAACGAATCGTGCATAAGAGTCGCATAAGGTAAGGAAAGACGGGACTTGAGTTAGCTTCAAATTTTCATTGAATTTCACAGTCTTCTTTAACAAAAAGTATTATTTGCCAGGATAGACCGGACTGCTCTTTTGATTTCGCCCAGGTCTCATCAGCATCTTTAGCTAGAATCGAAATTGGGCCTTACTTCTACATGCTACCACTGACATACCAACACAGAGTAGACGCAAGTTTCAAAGGAAACCATGCTTCTCTAACACCACATTTTCTAGTGGGAATGTTGATGAAGCAAACAACTATCTTATCATTGCCCTCAACCATCCGTCCCTCATGACCTTACGCAAACTCGGGAAGCTAAATCTCCTATTCCAGATTTAATGAGTCTAGGAGCCTACTTTAAATTAATATAAGTAGTGTCCCGGAATCACATTTTATTGTCGGAGTGTTGATGAAGCAAACAAGTATTTTATCATTACCCTCAACCATCCGTCCCTCATGACCTTACGCAAACTCGGGAAGCTAAATCTCCTATTCCAGATTTAATGAGTCTAGGAGCCTACTTTAAATTAATATAAGTAGTGCCCCGGAACACATTTTATAGTCGGAGTGTTGATGAAGCAAACAAGTATTTTATCATTACCCTCAACCATCCGTCCTTCATGATCTTACTCAGGCTCGGGTAGCTAAATCTCCTATTCCATATTTAATGAGTCTAGGAGCCTACTTTCTATTAATATAAGTAGTGTACCGGATTGCAATGGCAAAATCTAAATTTGCCTCATTGACACTCCCACCGCGAAATGAGATATGGTGGGGGCCTGCCTCGTGACACAGGGACACTCGTGGCAGCCTGAAGGAGTGGTGACATGTCGAAATTAAAATCGGGTTGAACTTCCGCTGAGAGTGTTGATGAGACCAGATTGGACGAGGTAGAAACTACAATTCAATCCAATCGGGATGAGAATGTGCTTTGGCAGATGAGGTCATATGAGCCTCAATTAAAAGGCGAGTTCTAGTCGTGTGGTTATGTGCATATTCAACTGTCAGTACTTCCTCACCTAATACTCAATCTACAAATTAACTTGATGGATGATTGTGGGTTAACAAAAGATTTTGCCTACTCGCCTCGACTTCACGTCCTAGTGCCTGCTACCTGTAGCCTTACTATCATTAATTTGAGTAGTATCAGCTGAAAAAAAATTCAGAAGCAAACTCACATTTGTCGGCTTGCATTAAACTTCTCTGTCAAATGTGCTCCTTAATTAACTGATAAGGGCATAATAAGTATTAAGTTTAAAAAATCCTAAATCAAGTGGATATTCACGCATCGGACGGCGCAAAAATAAACATCACAACCACGAGGCGATTTTCCTGCGGCTTCCGGCGAGGCCAATTCACGAGTACTTTTCATTTAAGTCCTCGAATGAGGCGAAGAAACGCCAACATTAAGGCCAAAGGAGCTCTTATCTTCGTTTAAAAGTAGCCTTTTCTAGACTACCAGCGTACCATCTATGAATGAAGAGTATTCACCCAGTCCCGTTTAAGGTGATAAAGGGACTGGTAAGTTAACTTTTCCCACATTGATGTGAGTAGACCTTAAATTTGCAGTGAATTTCACATAGACTTGCTCTCCAAAAAGTATCCTCATCCAGGCTCTCATCCGAGATCTATTATTAGTCTCGAAGAGCCTACTTATAAACGAACAATAAGTAGCATAGTCAATTGCGATAGCAAATGCAACCACAGAATGTGGCATGGAAAACGTCTGTCCTTCCTTGACATTCGCATCTGCCGTGTGATCCGAGGGCACACGTGACAGTCTGGAGAAGTGGGTAACATGTCTAGATTATACGCTGTACTATCATAACTTGGGTTCGAGCCCTACCGAGGTCGAAGCTGCAGTCCACCCCAGTCGGGATGAGAACGCCTTTTGAGAAAATCAAATGGAAAGGTAAGGACTACTCCTCTGAATGTGGGAAAAATTCAACTAATAATCCCCTCATCACCTTAAACGAAATAAGGTCAACACACTTTACATATAAATGAACTTTTAGTGCTCGTTTTCTCGCGTTCTCTCAACTTGGTCAGAACGACAGAGAGGCCTTATGGGGTATACCCAATCCAGCGTCTGTGCTCGAGTATTCATTAAGCTTTCCAGCCGGCAGCATAGTCGGTATCGTCAGTCGAAGTGACGGAGGTTCTGCACAAAGTCCGTTCAAATCGGCACATAATAGAAGAGCCCAATTTCGAAGAATACAATATTCATTTCGTCTTTTAACGCTTTCCGTCTGGCTTTGAAAGGCTTGGTGAATTTCGGGAAGCCTGCTTCTGGGCTCCGATAATTTAGCGTTTAATGGGTAGATTTTCGAGACTGTCAGTAGATCTGATATAAGAGCTTCACTCAACCTATTTCGTTTGAGGTGATGAAGGACTGGTGGCAGAATTTTCCCACGACCATACGAATAAGCCTCACATGGCTTTGCCCATATCACATTTCTGTAATGGGATTTTATGGAGGAAGAGAATTTAGAAATTGCTATAGCAGCAAATTGTACTACTTATTTTCGTTTAATAAGTAGGTTGCTCAGACTACCAGTAGATCATGTATATGAGATTTATTCAGACTATTTCGTTTAAGATGATGAAGGATTGCTGCAGCAAGTGAAACTTCATTTAAAATCCCACCGCAGGTGATACGGGAAAAACCTGGCCTTCCTGGACATTCACCTCTGCCCAATGAACCAATGTCATTCGTGCCAGTGTGGCGCAGTGGTTATCGCCGCACTGCCAGAACCCGGATCAGAGTCGCGCTGAGGGTGCTGATGAGATCGGCTAAGGCCAGGTCGGAGCTGCAGATGAGAATACCTTTTGAGGAAGAAAGACCGTGTGAGATTCGATGCAAATGTGAGGCCTATGCAGTTGTTTGTGGGAAAATTAAAGTACCAATCCTTCATCAGCTTAAGAAGAATAGGCTCTGCTAATGGCTGTAAAAGAGGGACGGATAAAAACTGAGCACTTACTCATCAGAGGCAAAGGACGCTGCTAGGATGACGTCTTCGAGCAGATCCAGTCGGAACTGCGAGGCGACCCTCCATCGGTTTGACCGGCTGACAATTTACAAATATGCTCCTCCCGCCTCTGCCCACTTCACGGAGGGTAGAACAATATGTACGATATCGGGCCGGGGCCACCGGGAATGATTGGCTTGAAAACTACGAACTCCCTGGTCTAAACAGAGAGAAAAGACTCTCCCTTGCCGAGCCACGTTGGTACCACGACAATCATTCGGCATCATTCAATCGAAGACCGGTCCGTTGCTTGTCTGGCCGGTTGTCGTGAGCTCTGAAGCTACGTTCTCCCAGTCTCTGTCCGTCAAGACTCCACCAATGCCAAGAGGTTGTTCGACTCCTACCGAGGCCTCCGTCAGTTCGGCCAAGCCGAAGGCCCCAGGAAGAAGCAAGGACAGTCCACGGTGCAGGAAAGAATTGGCAAAGCTCTCGGAAACCAGAAAAGGAATGAACCCTAGAGAAAAAAGTAAACTGGCTGACTAGCACACACGCACAAACACACACAAGCAGAGAGAACTGTGGAGCCGGTCTCGGGTAGAGCAAACTTTCGGTACTCGTCACTTGAACTGAGGCAAAGAAGAGGCCATGGAAGTCACGTCCAGGCCAACGGATTAATTCAATCTCGGACCGAGAATCCTCCGCCATTGTGTCTAAATAGAACCGTATGCACGGGTCCCGCGGAGGAGGCAAACAAACAATCTCACGTTTTAGCCAGACATTCAAGGTTTGACATTGAATGAATTGTTTACTGCCGCAACAAGGCTACAACCGCCCCAGTAACTGACCTCATAGAAATGTACATTTGCGTGAGGCTTGTCCGGTCCGTCTGCAATGCATTTGTGTTCCGAACTAGACCTTCTACGTCAGACATGAAGAGCAGCCGATACCCTCGAAACTATGGCCACGAGACACAAAAAGATATGGACCAGGGCCTAGCTATAAACGCCGACTTCGAATTCCACGTCATGAGATTAAATAGATTCTATTCGAGCAGATCAGGAAGGCAAGACCAAATTAAGATGCATGCTTTGCTTTGAGCCTTATCGAAGCTGTTTGCCGAGAAGAATTCAGCCGAAGATACCGTCCAAAAGGCGTATCGGAATTTAGTCTGATGTGGCCTCATCGAAAGTCATTACGACTGAGAGCCCATCTCTTGTTGTTAAGGCTATTCAACAAGCAACGTCAAAAACGGTATCTATAAAATCCTGAAAACAGCGAAATGCGACAATCAGGAAGGCCAATATGGAGTCGCGAATTATGGAGCCATAGCAAGACGCGACTAGGTGCTATCATGCCCAATTGAGGCTTCAGTTACTAATGCATGACTCTGCAAAATTAGGCCCGGGTACCATGGGCAGAAAATGAGCCCAATTTATAATAATCAGTAATGCTATCATGTTCGGGAAGGCGATTACACGCAAAAGCGGTAAACAGGCAAGGATACAAAAATGAAAAGAGCATAAACACATGTATATATATATGTAAATTAATAGATACATATATATACTTACATAATAATTTATGAAGTTGTGATAAACGAAATTTTCATTGATAGTCTCGTGCAAGCACAATTCTGAAGGAATACAAAAAAAGAAATCATCCCAATAAAGGTATCCGAAGAGTTTTGCATGAGCGAGGGATTTGTGAGAATTTATAAAATGAGAGACTAAGAGCATCGTTATGACAGAGAAAGGTAAAACCAATGATGAAATATTAAAAATAAGGCAAAAGAAAAGAAAAGAACTAATTATCTCAAGGATTGTTGAGAGATAAAATCATGATAAGGGGGAGAAATGAAAAGAAAAAGACAAAATGAGTGGATAGGAGTAATTTGAGATTTATAGGAACGTACATTTGGAGAGGGGATGGATTCGTAGCCAAGCGAGATGAAATCGAGTTGAAACCTGGAAACGAGATGACCAATATGCAAACACAACATCTGATTTGGAAAGAAAATTGGCCGAGCGCAAATAGTCGACGTTTTATAGAGGTAATGTGAATTAATTATGCTGGACCTAATACCAAATAATATAGGAAAGAATGTACAGATCATCAAGCGCTATATATATATATATATATATATATATTTGGAATAATGTAAAAAAGAGATATAAATTCTCATAGGAAACAGCGACAAATTCAGATCAGGTGAGTCGCAAATTTATTGAATATAGGATGGTTAGGAAGCTTTGGTTAAACGCAACCGCGTATCCAGTCGCCAATGTGCCTAGTGTAGGAACGAGGATGGAGGGAAGTTGGATAAAAAAATAGCGACTAGATATATATATGATTGTAGAAAGCCTTGTGGGAGAAAAATAAAAAAATCGAGCAAAAAGTATGTCCTCGTAACAGATAGGAAATGAGAGAGGAACAAGAAAACAAGAGGAAGGATGGAAAGTGATAAAGCAGTTCTAGAATAATCCTAAAGTAAGAAGGGATGTGAGTAAGAATAGTGCCGACAGCAGAGAAGAGAAAAGATGGTGTAATCATAAATATGTAAAGAGAGCACAAGTGGGTTATGAAGATAACTCAAAAGCATTAATTCTGAAGTTCAATCATAAAGGATGAGAGATTAAAAGCAGTGTCAATAATTAAAGAGCAGCAAGTATTAACGAAGGCTTGACGACAAAGCATGAAGATGGGTAAAGCAAGACTTTCGCTAATGGGCAAAGATGATAAGTTCAAAAACTGAAAATATAGTCTATAAACGCAGGGAGAATGTAAAAGTGACTCCCTTAACGAATTGTAACTCAAGACGTTGTGAAGCGAAAGAAAACAAGGGGGGACTAAGGGAGATCGACATCCAGTAAACGAGAGAAATTATGAAATCCGGGTTCAATTATACAAAATAAAGCATGGAAAGTTGAAATAGACTTGAGTGGCTACAATGTGGCACGAAGGGAATAGGAGAGGCTAAAAGGCCCTGAATATTTTGAAGTGTAAGAGGACAGAAACTGGCTCGCAAGTCTGATGAATAAAAGAGAAATATCGGTAAGTTTGATAAACAGACGGATATAGATATAGATAGATAGATAGGAAAAAATAAAGATAATAGATAAAAGATAAAAGATAAAGATATATATATATATGTAAAGTTAAATTAAGCCATAAGGTGTATAGATAAAGAGAATAAAATGAAAATAAGTACATGCACTGGCATAGCGTGCTCATCTACATACAAACGTTTCAGAGATATGAGATCATGCCAGGAATGTTGTTAAAGCAGACAAGAGGTGCTCAAGTGTTAAAAGCCTTAGAAATCGACCTAACTAAATATAAATTTTGATCATTCCATTTAATGAAGAGATGAAATAAATCAAATCAAAGACGGAGACGCATATACAGGGGCACCGGAGAGGGAGAAAAGTGATCACGATTTATTGTGTAAAGATCGCAGAAGCATTGGTGCTAGTTCCGAGCTCGAGATGATGCGAAAAAAACTTTCCAAGAGTCAAAAGAAAGAAATGGGTGGAAATCAGATGGAGGACGATTTTCTCCGGTCTCGGGCTCACTTAAATGGCCACCAATACAAATTAAAAATTAAATCAGACAATAGACATCATGAGACTAGATAGTTTTGAGATAACAGTCTTAGATAAGACCATCGCATGCTTTCTATAAGCAAAATGTAAGCATGAATAGTGAATATGAAAATAAAGTGAATAAAAAATGTTAAGAGTAGGTCCAGAAAGTATTGCAGCATTTAAAATAAAGATACGGAGGAAAGTAGTGTACATCATTATACGTAATCTGAAAAGTAATGCAATGTGGGAAAAGGTTAAGATTGTCAGAAATACTGCCGTTTTGGCAGTTCTTCTTAAAGGAGAGCTTAGGCGAGGAGATGGCCAAACCATAATCATAAAATTATATTTAG